CTGAGCATAGATATTAAAATTGGAATATATATATATTGCATAGTATATATAATATCAGAATATATATAATATTCCAGTATCACACATACACACACACACACACACACACACACGTGCATGCACAGTATATTTAAATTTCTACAGGATCTGCTGCTCAGTTGGTTAGGAACAGGATAAATTTGCTGTTTTCTATAGAGCCTCTCTCTAGGGAGTCTTCCCCTTTTTTGAATATGTAATTTCCTTTTCCTGTCACAACCCTGAAGGGTAAGGATTTGTGTCAGTTTTACAGAGGAGAAGCCGCAGTCTCAGAGAGGTCAAGTAAATTTCCTGAGATCGCTCAGGAGTGCAACCGATCATTCAAGAAATTGTCCCAACGTGTGCTAACTGCATCACTGGAAAGCGAGGGGCTAAGATCCTCGCCCTGTTTGTTTGGTTTCCCATTTATCTTATTCACCTAACACACTGAGGGGTCCTTTAAGAAACAATCTCTCATTATGGAAAAATTCAACCCTTATAGAAAAGTAGACAGAATAATGCACTCTTAGAGGTCCTTTTAATTCCGCCCAGAATGGGTTGCGCTTACAGCTGCCAAAGGTTGAGGGCACTGAATGAAAGGGAAACACGGACTTGCTGTTTCGCTTTCTTTCTTAAAACAAAAAAGATATTCAGGGCAAATTTTAGAATCATTGACGGTTTCTAGGAAGATTTTCTTTTTTGGAAGAAAAAAGGTACTCTTGTCTCCCTAATTGTTCTTAGTGTTCTTTGTCACCAATCATGATATTCTTTGTGGAAGGTATTAATATACCATCTTCCTGTGTTCAATATTCCCATTAACAATAAAAAGTCTAATGAAAATATCTGCATGAAAAGCTCTGAGCACTAATTTCAGAGACAAATAGAAGATGAACCAATAAGCTTTTCTTCTGAAATAAATGATGCAAATTAATTGATATCTTAATTAGGCTTTAGCACGAAGATTATTAGATGGAATCAGAACTGAAAAACATCTTAAAGAGAAAGCTGAGGAGGACATGGCACTGAGGGGAGAGAGATGTTAGTTGTCAATGCTCTGCTCGAAATCTCTTTTGTTCAATGAGAGGTTTTTCAAAGAGGGGGCGGAGAAGGAGAGCATGCTTTACCTAGGACTCCCTGCCTGCCGCGGTCTGGCCAGCGTTGGGGACTGAAGCCTCGTCTTGCCCCTGAGCTGACGGGAACCCACCCCTGCGGGAAGTTCTGCCCTGGGAGAGCCCCTGGTGCCCCTGGAATCCCAGCCCTGTGCTGCAGCCTCTTCCTCTGCCTCACTAGAGCAGAAGGCCTTGGAAGGCAAAGATTTGCCCTGTTGTGTGCGCATCTGCAACCCCGGGGCCAGTGTGGTGCCTGACTTAGGAACAGTAAGGATAATGCTACAGCCAGGGAGTATATACAGCTTTACTATGTGCTCTGAGTACTGTTCTAAGCGTTTTACTTAAAAGAACTCATTTGAACTTCCTAACAACAGGGTGAGGCAGGCACTACTGATTAGCCCCACTTTTCAAGGGAGCATATTGAGATGCAGGTTGAGTATCTTGCCCCCCAAGGTCACATAGCTATACTGGTGGATTCAGATTTGAACCCAGTCGTCCGGCTCCAGAGTCCTCGGTTTACACTTGCAAACAATGGTCAATCCATATTTGTTGAATTCAGCCAACGAAGGGTACCATGAACGCTTGGTTCCTACTGGTGGACTTCTCTCTAGCTTTTGTACAGGTTTCCTTTCTCCAGAGCTTTATCCCACTCTATAGTCAACTCCTGTCGGCCTCTCTTTGGGGCAGGGGGCTGCAGATGTTCCCTGTATTCCTAAGAACTGACTGCTATTTCAACCCAGACAGATGGCCCCCAAACTGTCCCTACTGAGGGGCTCCCGTGGCTGTGGCCCCGCCCACCACCCAATTAGACCCGGGCCCCTAATATCGCAGACTGGGTCCCACCTCCGTGGCCACTGCGAATCACAGGGCTGTCGTCACTCCACCTCTGCTGTGACTTTATGGCGTGAGGCCACTGACTGTGGAGGGTAGTGATACTACGTAGAGTTTACTCTTAACCTAACATATCAAGGGTTAAAATTACGGAAAAGTTTGAAATTCTTCCCAGGTATATTTGATCGCCCAAGATAGCATTCCCTGGGGAGGTTCCCTAGCAGCATCTATCCATAAGAGGGAAGGAGAAAGAGAGCCCTGGAATGGTAGGTGACCCACAGAGACTCTGCTTGCCATCTGACCGAGAGGGCACGGTGGGATGCCTCTTGCCACAGCGGAGTGGCTGGCTGAGACGGGGTGTGAACCAGACCATGGGGTCCGACCATGTGGTAGGGTATGCAATCTGGAGCTCGGGGGCTTGGGCTGAAGACCCAGCTCCACGACCCTCTAGCTAAGAGACTGCATCAGCCAGCCCCTCTAGGCTTCGCTTTCCCACCTCCGAAATGGGGATAATGCCTACTTCACAAAGCGATTGTGGGGCTCAAAAGGAAGTGTCAGAAGTGATTGTCACTTGAAAATTGCTCCACAGATGGGGGATGACAGCAATGACCAAGGCATTCCGACGCTGAGCTCTGTGGTCTTCCTTCAGTTGGCTAAACTCCCCTCTGGAGACTCATTCGCTCCACACTGATGGAAGCGGTGCCCGGGAATCTGCATTTTAACACGTTCACCCGCGGATTTGAACACGCTCTAATGTCTGAGACCTACTCAGCCACAGCTAACGCCAACACAAAGGAAGTACTGCTGGGTTTGATAAGAGGCTTCCCTTTTTTTGGCCGAGGCCCACAGCCTGAGACCTAAACGAGCCTGGTTTTATACTGGCCATGCAGCTGGAGGGATGCGGGGGCTGGTGGGCAGGCTGGGTGGGTATAGCTGAGGAGAGCTGCCGCTTCCTGCTGGACACTTGGATCAGGGAAAGGGGGTGAAAATGTGCCTGAAAGCCAAGCCTCCTCCGGTCTGAGCGGCAAGGCTGAGGGCCACAGCCAGGGCAGGTGGCCCTGCTAAGCTCTGCGGCTTAGCAGTCTTGCCGGCCACCTGCCACCTGGCACCTGCTACCCACTCTGCTTCTCAGCTGCGCTGCTGAGAGCCTGTGTGTGCACCACGAAGCATCTGTGAGAGACACTGTCCCGAGTGCATGCTGGGGTGAGGGGCTGGGCGGGGCGGGGGGCTCCAGGCTTGGAAGAAAGAAAAGCTCATGGCCCCAAGGTGCCCTCGATGCTGAAATGACTCCATCCACCACAGTTTCTGAAGTCTGCCTCAGAACTGCCCCGTAGAACCCTCTTATGGACAGCCTGGTATGTGACGTCCAGAGCAACACTCCTTTCTTGAGAGCTTCGCCCCCTTGTGATGGCCAGGGAATCCCAAATTGGCAAGGCTCTAAATTGGGGCAGGATCCAGTATCTTTCCCTTTTGTGCTCTCAGCTCCTCTCCCTGCCCTGATGGCATGAAAATCCCCCAGCTCTGCCCCTTTGCATGTTTATGGTGTTTCCAAGGCTCTTCACCAGGCCGAGGAGTGCTTGGCCGGGAAGGGTGTTGAACAATGCCCCTGCTTTCCCTCACGCACTGTCCAAGAAGCCACTGCCAGAAGCTTCCCTGGAGGGAGCCCTTTCCAAGGCCCTCCGTAGCCAGCACTGCCTCTGAGGATGGGCTGTCGACCTGAGCATCCTGTGAAGGGCCTGTGGTCACTGGGCAGGGGTTGGTTGACAGGGTAGCTTCCCCCCAAATCCCCTCAAGCCCCATTCTAGGGGTTGTGAGAGCCCCTGCCTTGCTCAGGAGCATCAGCGGCTAGTTCACACTGATACCCCTGCCTCTGATCCATAGCAGTAGAAGGAAAACCAGAAACTCCTTATACTTGTGGTACTATGGTTTCTAAAGTGTTCTCAGGATACTCTCTCATTCGATTATCATGACAACCACGCAGAGGAGGTAACATGGCTCCTATCTTACAGATAAACATGAAACGCCCAGAGGAACTCTGGGCAACTTAATGGTGATCATTGATTTGGGGACCAGCCAAACTTGGATCCAGACTTAGTCTTTCTAGTTCTGGATTCCCACTATCTTATGGCTTGATGCCTTTGCACACTATGCAAAGGCCATCCGCGAGCTCTCTCAGTGCAGACGCACGGATGGCTGAAGCTAGCGTGGAATTTCCCAGAGTGTGTGGCCAGGCACTCGTGAGCACAAGATTCAGTGAGGCTGGAAAATAAATGCATACTATATAGTGCACATTAGAATAATAAAAGCTCTAAAAAATCCTTCAGTGAGGAATGGGATTAATATAGTGCAACATGGAGTCTCCAAAACTTGTTTGGGAATAGAACCTTTTTTCCTTCCCCCACATGATGCCTGTTAACAATGCATCAGACTTGTGTTCTTCAGACCTACTCCAGAAGGGACGAGCCAGACTCCTTCACTATTTTGTGATGGCAAAGGGACACAGATGAGGGGAGGCCGCTTGTTTCTGTACAAAGGAAAGGACATCGCCATGCCTTCCCCATGCCCCTCGGCCCATCAGGAGGAGGAGCTCCTGCAGGACTCCCCCTGGCCAGCTCTGCCCCCTGGACTGCACAAAATCACCCCCGTGCCTCCGAATCCAGGCTCCTTGTGGTGGTGCGCTGGAGGCAATTGTTAAATTTTCAGAAAATTTGTGAGTTAATCATTTAAATCATCAGGAACTCAAAATTGGCCATGATGGAAGTATTTACATTACAGAAATCAGCAAACACGACAAATTGGGGCTCTCCTTACCCGTTTTATCCTGAGAGCCCATTTACCTGTACACCACTGATCCTGGATGTTTTTTGGAATCGTTAGAAAACTTGGAAGGGGCTGTGACAGCTGGAGGCAGGGGGCAACCTGACACGGAAGTCCTTGCCCTTCAGAGTCCCCAGCCCTCCTGAGTGAAAGCCGACAACTACACAGAACAGTCATCCTCCAGCTATAACCCCAAATGAATCAGAAAGTGCCTTCTGGCCTGCTTACCTTTATATCTGTTACCAGCCAGTGTCTCCAGAATTGAGCTTTGGGTGAAGACCTGCTCGGGGCATCTGGATCCACCATCACCAGGATGTAGGTTGTGCCCTGTAACACATTCACCAGAAAGAAATGTAGCACCGTGACTAGAATTCTGACAGGAAAACTGCACGGTGCAGTCTCTCCTTTTATCTTTACTGCAGCCGAGAATGGCGGGCCGACCCCTGTAGCTTCCTACCCAGTCCATCTTTGTTCTCGTGACATTCCTCTTGTGTCACATGTTTACTCGCAAAGAAATGAAGCCTATTAAGTAGACAGCTGAAAAGCTTGGCTTTCCCTTTATGAAGAAGAATAAATCAAACAAGCATATTTACTAAGCATCTGGAAGTCCCTAGCATCATGCTAGGTGCTATGATGGAAAAATGAAATTTAAAACAGGGCTTCTGCTCTCAAGAAGTTTACAGTATAGTTGGAGCAACTTATCCATGAATTCGGCAAACACAGGAGAACTTAGTTGGTGTCAGGAACGGTACCAGTTGCAAGGAATACTAGGATTCATTCATACCTCAACAAGCATTTACTGAACACCTCCGGTGTGCCAGAAATCGTTCTATGGGCTAGGCATCCAACAGAGAACAAGACAGTGTGAGCCTTACTTTCAGGAAGCTTTTATTCTAGGGAAGAGACACAGATTTTTAAAAAATTCAACAAACAAACAAACCCGAACCACAAGGAAATGTCCAATTGGGATTAGTGCTCTGATGAAAATAAAATAGGGTGGGAGTGAGAGGGAGCCAGCATTCCGAGAAGAGGAAGCAGCCACTACAAAGGCCTGCATGTGGGAAAGAGTGGGGGTTTGAGGAACAGAAAGAACACCATGTGGCTAGGGCTGAGCAAGGGGAAGAATGGACGAGGCCAGGTTGGAGCGGTGGGGAGGGGCACAGAAGGCTTTGTAGGCCTTGGTAGACGAGGAGGAGGGTTTTTACTCTTAAGTGCAACGGAGAACCGATGGAGGGTTTTAGCCAGCAGAGTGAGATGCTCTGATTTGTTTTTCAAAGATTGTTTTGGTGGCTGGGTGGAGAATGCCTGGCTAGCAGGAGGTGAGAGATGGAGCCAGGAGGCCAGTCAGGAGGCTGCTGCAGTAGCGAAGGGAAGGATGGTGGCATATTGGACTAGAATGGTAGCAATAGAGAGATGCAAGGGGGTAGATTGAGAGGAAGTGTTTTTAGGCAGAATCAATGGGATTTGCTGATGGATGGGACCGTCGGGCATGGTGGGGGGGAAGAGAATTTGAGGATATCTCCTGAGTTTGTGGCTTGAGCAACTGGGTAAATGGGACCCATTTAGTGACATAGAAGACCTGGGGAAGAGACTGTTTGAAAGGGGGATATTGAGAGTTCTGTTTTAGGCATATTAAGTTAGGAATACTTCTAAAAGTCTGCAAGTCAGAGTCTGGAGTCTGGAGGAAAGGTCAGGACTGGGTAGCTAAGTTTTGGAGACATTGACATATAGATGGTCCTTAAATCCATAGACTAATGAGATTCTTCTTGTATTTAGACGTGGAACAGACAAGAGGTCTTTTGAACAGAAAAGAGTCCTCTAGAACAGCTAATGTTTAGAAGAGAAGAGAATCTAGAAAAGGAGACTGTGAAGCCAGAGAGGTGGGGGAACACCTGCAGAGTAGGTATCATGAAAGCTGAGCCAGGAAGAGTTTCGAAAAGGAGGAGGTGGGCAACTATGCCGACTGCTGCTGAAGGGTAGAGGGAGATGAGAACACAGATATGACAATGGGATCAGACAACCTGGGGACCCTGCTAACTTGGCAAGACCAGGTTCAGTGGAGTAGAAAAGACTGAGGTTCGCTTGGGATATAGGTGGAGATGAGACAGGGGATGTGGAACTGGAGACAGTTCGTAAAGACAATAAAAGAAATTTTAGTGTGAGGTCAGCTGAGACACGGAGCGGCTGTTACTAGATGGGAAGGAAGAGTAAAGAGATCTTTAAAATTGTTTAAATTATTCTTTTAAGAGAGAGGTGACAGTCAGACATGTCTGCAGGCCAGTGGAAATGATCCCAAGTAGAAAGGGAGCCAGAGAGAGGGGACAGAGAGGGGAAAGGGGATCGTCGCAAGAGGCAAGACTCTGGAAAGGTGGGTGGGGACAGGATCCAGAGCAAAAGTGGAGGGACTGGCCTCTGGGAAGATGCAGAGGAGACAGGCTCAGATGCAGGGCAACTGGAGAATGTGATGGTGAGGAAGGAGGACAACTGTCTTCTGAGGACTTCTATTTTCTCGGTGAATTAGAGGCAAGGTCTAGGGGAAGACGGACTATAGGAAGTTTGGGGACAAGGAAGAAGGGGTGAAAGAGTCATTCTGGAAAGTGAGAAATTGAATAGAGCGTAGGTTTGTAGTAAGGTTCCTAGATAATATGACATTCCACATCTGTGTGCTTTTAACTGCTCAGGTGCAGTCGTGAAATAGGTGGTAGCTGGGTTTCACGTGGACAGGGCCTCAGACGGGTCAGGATGCAGGATGAGAAGGGAACGGGAGAGTAAGACGTGAGTAAGGCAAATAGAGACAAGCCGGGGCTCCTCTTCGTCTGAAGGGGACGTGGCTGTAGTACCATGTGTGAGTGCCCGAACATTTACCAAGCGCTCAGGGGACTCAGAGGATGGAGCCTAAACCTCTCTACCTCTGGAATCCAGGCCGCCTTCACAGATTGTCCTCTGAACTCGATCTGGAAGAACGAGCAGGGTCAGGAAAGTGACTCTGTAGGCCAAGGGAAGGGTCTGTGCAAAGGAATGGGGAGGTTTGGGGGATGGCAAGAATCTTGGTGTGCTGGGACACCAGGCATCTAGAAGGGAATGGGAGGTGACAAAGCTGAGGGGTTACCGGGACTAGATGACAGAGAGATTAAGTGTCCTAAGTCGTTTAGAATTTGTTTTGCCACAGGACCCACTGAAATTGTTTGAATAGACCAGTGACATGATTAAGTGTGTGCTTTGGAAAGGCACATGATAAACGTTGAGTAAAAAACTAAAAGAAGAGCAAGAAGAAAAAAAAAAAAAGAAGAAAGACAACTGGGATATTCTGAAGAGAGATCACAAGGGCTTGAAAATGCAAGTAGTAGTAATGAAGACAGAAAGAGGCATTTGTACTGTCCAGTCAACAGCATGGAGTGACTGGATAGGGCCAAGGAGGGAGAGGGAGACGTCTAGGATGACCCTGACATTCTATCTTGGGCAACTACGTGGATGACAGTGCCATGAATATTAGGAGTAACAAATTTGGGAGACCTTGAGTTTGGTGTTAAAATGTGCAGGCAGGGGTGTCTGGGTGGCTCAGCCGGTTAAGCATCTGCCTTCAGCTCAGGTCATGACCCCAGGGTCCTGGGATTGAGTCCGGCATCGGGCTCCCTGCTCAGCGGGGAGACTGCTTCTCCCTCTGCCTGCCGGTCTCCCCTGCTTGTGCTTATGCGCTCTCTCTCTCTCTGTCAAATAAATAAATAAAATCTTTTTAAAAAAATGTGCAGGCAGGGGTGCTTTGGTGGCTCAGTCAGTTAAGCGTCCGACTCTTGATTTTGGCCCAGGTCATGATCTCAGGGTCCTGGGATAGAGCCCCACGTTGGACTCTGTGCTCCACGGGGAGTCTGCTTGGGATTCTCTCTTCTTCTGTCCCTCCCTTGCTTGTGCGTGCGTGCTCTCTCTCTCTCAAATAAATAAATTAAATTAAAAAAGAGGGAGAGAAATGTGAGGGGGAACGTAGGATCATATCCCAAAGAGCCAGGGTGTGTGTGTGTGTGTGTGTGTGTGTGTGTGTGAGATTCCAATAGAATCCCAGGAGGAAAAACTGTATAATTGATATTCCCAAGAATAGGTTCTAGCCAAAGTAATAAGAAAGTAAAAAGAAACAAAGTGTAAATACTGTAAAAGAAATAAAACCATCTATCCTTTTTCTGTCTTTTAATTAATTTCTTTTTCTCTTTGCAAGTGCCATGACTGCCTACCTGAGAAATCCAAAAGGCTCAGATGGAAACAGCTAGATTAATATTCAGTAAAGTGAGCTGTTACGAAATGCACACAAAATCAGTACTTATTAATAATGGCCAGAAAATACTTTTAAAATCCCATTTATAATTGTAATAAAAAATATAAAATATCTTGGAATAAGCCTGATGAAAAATCCAAGACTTAGACAAAGAAGCCAAAAAAACTACTGATGTGCATGAAAAGAAAACTTGAATAGATGTGGCGACACACTATGCTTTTAAACGGAAAGAACCATTTATAAATCTGTCGATATCCTTTAATTAATTAGCTAATTTAACACAAGTCCAAACAAAATCTTAAATAGATATTTTGGGAACCTCATGGAATAATTCTAAAGCTCAGAATAGAAGAAAAAAATGATTAGCTGAAGCAATACTGAAAACTAGGGACATGGTATTGATTTTGAAGATATTAAAACATAGTATAAAGCTACAATAATTCAAACAACGTGGTGTTGATTAAAGAACAAGTAACTAGAGGAAGCAAAGTAGAAAATCTAGAGAGAAACTCATGTTCTTAACATATGTGTATTTAATAGATGATCAAGTTCTCATTAAATATATGATACTTAATACATAATAACGTTATTTCAAACAAGTAGGGAAAGGATAGATTATTTTTTAAGTGCTATTGAGACAATTGGCTCACCATGTGGAATAAACTTCAGTCTCCATTTCTTTCATATGCCAAAAAATTTCCAGATTTAAATGTGAAAATGAAAAAAAATCTTTAAAAAGTGACTTAATGAAATTTAGTAAATTCCTGTAATGGAATACTCTGTTAGAATTAGATCTTTATATTTTAATATGGAAAAATATCTAAAATATACTAGTAAGTGAAATAAGCTGCCGAATAGTGTGAATGTTATCATTTAAAATGTGCAGGAAAAAAACCTTTATATATCTAACTATATATATATTTATAGATATATTTGCATATGCATAGAAAATGTCTGGAAAAGTACACACCAAACTGTTAACAGGAAATGGCATAAAGGAAAAGATTGATATATTTAACTAGATATAATTTTGAAACTTTTATGACCAAAAAAAGAAAGCAAA